TGTATTTTTTTTTTTTTTTTTTTTTCAACAAGCTATTTAAAGTGAATGTTAAGGGCTTGTGTTTTGTGGCTTTGAACATACACACACACACATACACATACGAGTTGTGGAGTAAAGGGCGTACTCTGTCGCTCTCGGAATGAGTTGAAAATTTAAGCGTCTAAATGGCAATGGGCAAACGGTTTATGGAGCTAAAGACTGGACAGAGGAGGGGCAGGGCTGGGGGAGACAAGAAAACAGCAAAAGCAGAGAAGTGAGGGCAGACAAGAGAATAAGCAATGGCTTTTATCTATCAGAGTATCTGTCCGTCTGTCCGTCCGCTCGTCTGTTGCTGAATTTGGCCTGCGGCATTGACTCGACTCGTTGATGCGAATGATGATGTTGTCTGCTGACTGTGCCCACTCTCTGCCCGCTGTTCCCACTTCCCCCTCTCTCATTCTGTCTCCCTCTCTCTCTCTCTCTCTCTCTCTCTCGCTCCATATGTTTTCGTCTCTTCGATCACTTCATCTACATGTGTCGGCGGTTTTTGGGCATGCTGTAATTTGAAAATGTGGTCACGCCGACTTTTTTTTTAAATAGGTGTGTCTTGAACGTTTTTTTTTTTTCTCTCTCTCTCTTCTCTTCTATATATGACAGGTGATGTTTGGGGCGTTATGTATTTACATATTAATATTTGCATAGCTCTTTGCAAGTTTAGGCAAAGAAAACAAATAAGTTTATAATTAATGAAGGCATTAAACATAAGAGGGGAGTAACTGGGAATAGATCTTCAATCTAGAGTTCTAAAACCTTTTTGAGGTTATTTTTGTTTTAGATATATTGACAATATTTTCAGTTATACGCTAAATTTGAAACATTTAAAAGACTTGAACATATTTAAGTCTTTAATAACCTATCCAATTATTTTGTTTTGCTTTGTTTTTCCTCAATTATTTTTGACAACAAGTCAGTAGGCCGCGTGAAAGTGAAATTGCGGACAGACTAAATGAAGACACAAAATAATCAACAAGCCAAAAAATAAATAATAAAAAAAAAGTTCAATGAACTTTTTGGCCATTGGCACTGGCAAAAAATAATAATAACAATATAGACAAGAAACTAGCGAAAAAAAAAATTAGCCAAATAAAAGCAAAGAGCAGTCAACGATAACGGCCTACAAGAGTCTCGCATATTATTTTTCCCTCGCATTTTGCACGTTTTTATATTTCTGTCTACTACAACAGAAAATAATAATTATTAAATAAAAAAAAAAAAAAAAAAAAAAAAACTCTGTAGGGCAAAGAATGTATGGCACGCGACAATATTAAACGTGTAGGTCAGTGTAGAAACTGAAGAACACCCAAATGAAATAAAAACAATAATCAAAATGCAAGGTCGTTTACGCTCAAGACGTGGGTGGTACAAAATTTCCGAAGACAGACAAAGAATGTAAGCAAATACACGCACACAACAAAAGCATGAATGATCTAAAAATAATAATAAAATAATATAAACAAAAATAATAGAAGAAATAATAAACAAATCACAAGTACTAAACAAAGACTCTTGAGCATATTTTTTATTTTGTTTCGCTTCAGGTATTCTTCATCTCTTATTCTTATATTTGTGCACTTGTTGCGCAAAAGCTTTTGTTATTTTTGTTCCTTCCCCCGTCTTATTCTGCTTTTCAGCTTTTTGTGCGTGCTGCTGCTGCTGATGGCTGGCTCTCATTATTGTTGTTATTATTGTACTTTTGTTATTCTGCACATGTGCGTAGAATGTAAACAAATGAAACTTTTAAGCTGCACGACAAAAAGTTCAGTGCGAGCGTGAAATTTGGCAACGTCGCAGCGCAAGCATATACAGCTATACGTATTAAACATGGCGTGTGTGCACATAAAGTGAAAGATTATAAAAGCGACAAAGCAAAGTATGTGTATGTATGTATGTATGTACGTGAGTGTCAAAAACAGGCCGAAAATATGAAAAATGAAAATGTAAACGTGTCTGTAGAGCACGTACATACATATGTACATACAACAGCTACAGCGACGGGAGCAGCAACAGCAGGCAGCGAAGTAGAAGTGTAGCACAAAGTGGAAACAGAAAAATATGTGGCGGGCGGTCGAGTGCGTCCGTCGGCTACAAAGAGAGCGCACGAAGCGCCAAAGCGCCTGTGAGCACTGTTTCTATATGAGTGTGTGCGTGCGAGTGTGAACGTGGCTGTGGCTGTGACTGTGTTTGTGTGTGAAAAGTGCAGAGAGAAAATTTCACGCTTTTTTTTGTCGTCTTGTACAAACATAAACGAAAAGCAAACGAAGTCAGCAGCCGATGAGCCAAAGTGAGAGGGAGTAAAAAAGAGAGCGTGGCCAGCCAGCCAGCCAGCCAGCCCGCCAGTAGCATTGAAAAATATTTTGTACTGTTGTTGTTATTATTGTGTGGTGCTGCTGCTGCTGCCACGGCTGTTTCGACTGGGTTGCCCATAGGGGGGAAAACCAAGATGGCGGCTACACATAGAGCTCAAAACAGCGACACATTTTTTCTAGATTGTACTTATTTTTTCGACAACGTGCTTTTTAACAATTTACATGTAAAATATGTTTTTTTTTTTACCCAGCGACACGTTGTTTGCTATTGCATTGAAAAGCGCGCTTTAGAAGTTTATGCTGCCAGTGCTGCTGCTACTGCGCATATATTCGCCAATTAGAAAAAAGCTTATGTAACGAACGCTCGTTGTCATACTCACTCTTTCACACCAACGTCAGGCTGACTGACTGACTGCATACAAATGGAGAGAACGTACAATTTTTCCCAACGACACTTGACCTCATTTGCATGCGTGTGCGTTTATGTGTGTTCATTAAATTAATGAAAATTGTTCGTCATTACTTCAAATTGCACACAAACACATACACATGCTTCTACATGCATATGTGCAGTTGCAAAAATGCTGCTTTAGAAAAGCTTTGCAATGCAGCAAAGCTTTCACAAAAACGCATGAAAAATCGATATGAAAGTGAGACGCTCACTAACACTCACTAACACGGACACACACTTTGCAAAAACCGTTGGAAATATTGATTTTATATGCAAAAACACACACATACAGCAGAAGAGAAAAAGAGACAGAGAAACAGTAAATCAATCGCACAAATTAGAAAGTACAGTTCTAAGTCTATTTAAAAATATATACATATAGATCTAATGCATTTTTAGTTGCTTGTTTTTAAGGTATACACACCGAAATAGAATCACAGGCAGCACATAGTCGTCGTGTCGTTTTGATTAGATTTTTTTTCTTCTTTCAAGAGCTTTGCACATCAAATTATGTTAATACACACACACACATAGAGAGAGATACGCACGATTTGTATATGTGTAAAAGCGCGCGGGAGAAAAAGCAATAAAATTGAATTTATTTTTATTAAAAAGCCAAGTTTTTCAGTTGTGTGTATGTATGTATGTGTAGTTTTTCTGCTGCTGCGGAGTAGCAGCCCGCACAACAAAATGCGAAACGCGCGGAGCCACTGAAGAAAAACTGACGACTGACGAGCGCGCACGAAAACTTTTCTGGTCTAGCCACCGCGCAGCCAACGAAGTTCCGAACGAGAGCGAGCGAGCGAGCGAGCGAATGAGTGTGAGTTCGACAAAATTACCCAGCTGCGGCTGACTGCATGAAAAGAGTAGTGCTCATCGCCTTATTTTGTCATACCCCACATTGCTTGCAAATTGTCATGCTTTTAGATTTGTCATATGGCTTTTCAAGTTTTCGATTTCTCTAATGCAGCTTGTGTATAATTAATTATTCATTTTCGTATATTTAATTTTACAATGAAATTACAATGATGAGAATTACACCCATAGAGTTCCATCCTACTAGGTAACTTTGACTCTCATGTACATATGTGTGCGTGTTAGTATGTGCTTTGTATGCTTGGCGCGCGCGCAGAGTTGCCAACACCAATACGAAAAACTCAGCGGCGCATGCAAATCAGAAAAGTTGTTAATGTTTTTCTTTTCTTGTTGTGCCTGATAAAAAGCAGGCTTGGTTGCTTAATTGAAGCAACTCTAACAGCTAGTGCCTATTGATATAAATAAGCCAATAATTATACATACAGACATAGATATGGTTGTTTATATATATGTATGTACATGTCAGCTAGCTGGCAACTCTGTCTATGTAGTGGAGTTAAAAAATATCATTCGTTGTGGTCGCTCGTTTTTGCCGTGTTGTTGTTGCTACCAGCGCTGCTCGCTCATGTAGGGGGCGAGATATTGTGTATGAGTTTTTGCCAAGGCGAAGCCATAATGTTCACAAGAACAAAAACTGCCGTTGCTGAGTTGTATCTCTCTTACTCACACACTCTCTCGTTAGGTGTATATCGCTCTCTCCATGTCTCCTTTTCTATGGATATTGACTCTACATGTGTGTGTGAGTTTGTATGATTGAAACGGCTAAGGGGGGAGATAGAGCATGTAAAATGTATGCATTGCATTTTGTACTTAAAAAGTGCAAATTATTTTGTGTGTGTGTTTCTTTTAATGATCGTTCATGCCCGCACACATACACAGAATTTGCTGATTTATTTTAGGTTCCAGCATGACTTCATCGGAACATTTTCGTGCACCCTTGCTCCCGTCATACCTTTTAAAAGCATTTGTATGTATGTATGTACATATGTGTGTAATTATGTACTTAAATTTTCAACGGTGTTGCGTTTATGCCTTATGTATTTGCAATTAACGCTTTTATGTGAAATTCTACACGCTTAATAGAAAAGCTCTAAGCGATTCTAATTGACGAAATAGAGACAGTTTAAGGTGCAAATTTTATTTTTGGCATAAATATTTTTCACTTCAAAATAATTAGCGATCAGCTGCTGAAAGGATAAAGGAAAAACGAACCAAAGGAATATATATTCTCTTATATATAATACATACATGTAGCGTAAATATACCTGATATAAATACATACATACATACGTAAAATAGCATCACGTTTCGCATAACAAGTAGCTCACCTGCATTCAATGAAAAGCTCTCTGCCTCTTTATGTCCACCTCCCCATAGTTAATAAGCGAAAACTTCAAATCGGTCACGTAGAAGCTTTTTCCTTTCGTTTTACATTTGCCTCTTTTGTTACATTTGACAAGCGGTGCGACGTCGACGTGAGCGTCGACTGCAGCTGCACTGTCACCTAGGCTGCCGCCGCCTGCTGCAATGACAGCTGCGTCACACCAACACAAACACACGCACACACACGTTAGTACAAAGGCTCGCGATTGCACGAGAAACAAACACATAAGACAAGTGAAAATCAAACACTGCCAATTATCTACATACAAACATATGCATATGTATAGGTATATTTATGTTATTTGTTCGTTGCTGATTTTTAATTATAATAAATTATATTTCAACTGCAGCCTGGGGCCATAAACCACATCGAACGACTTAAGTGTTTGTTGCTTTGCGCATTCTATTCTAAAAAGCTCACTTTATTACAGATTTGATTTTTTTTTCTTGGTTTGTTTGTTATTATTTAGTTTTATATTTTTATGTAAACGAGCTTCAAAGTGTGCTTGGGGGTGGGGAAATTATTTACGTTACGTTATGTGCAATAAAAACGAGCGCACGAAGCGACAAACGCGTTATTCCTGAGAGTTCAATTTGCTACTGCAATAAGAAACGAAGAAAAAAGCTGCGATGTCGAATGCGAAGCCAATGGCAGGCCAAAAAGAATAAGAGTAGAAAAGCTACAGCGAAATCCAAACACAGAAAAAGCACAGAGCATGTGTGTGCATACACGAAGCGCAATATTTTTGTTGTTTTCACTGCATACACTAAAAAAAATAAACGAAGATCGCTCGTGCTTGGTGGCGCTGACTTTGCCTTGTATACCTTTTGCATAGTCGTGTGGATATGTGTTTGTGCGTGTATGTGTGCGAAGTAGCGACATTTGCTTGCTTAAAAAAGGAATGTAGATGTGCTGCTAAATGAAAAAGTAAAGAAAAATTTGTGTTTGAGAGTGAGCACACATGCGAATGATTCTATATGCATTTGCACATATGTATGTACGTATGTATATACATATGTATGTGTCTGTATGAGCAAGTGCATTAACATGTACTATGTAAATGTATAACGAATGGAAATATGAAAAAATCCTGGTTATATTTCTCAACTATATTTTAAATGTTTTCTTATTTAATATGTACACACTTGTTAGTCTATATACACATACATATATTTTTAATGCATTTTAATACAAAGGTACGTACATACATATGTTGTTTGCCCATTAATTTTAAGACAATGTTGTATGAAGAGACAATGTTGTCATATGCATCTTTGTCCACTAATCAAATAATAAACATTAAGCAAAACAATAAAAATTCCGTTGTAGAGAAGGTGTCAAGCGAACCATCAACATTTTGTTTTTGCCAGGTACGCACTTCACACATGAAGGGCATCAAGATACATTTAATGTTAATAATGTAACAAGATGGGATTTTTATTTTCCCCTAAATTACGCTCATGACAATTGAAGTGAAGTAAAATTCCCCTATCAACCACAACGATTGCCGGCATATTTTACCCGATCATGGCACAAGCCGCTCCTGTATATGCACAATTATCTACACACATATACATATGTACGTATGTATGTATGTAACTACTTATCATATGAATCTGTTTGTTTCTACACTTGCGACTTTCTAATGGAGCGTCTAATGTGCCAACATACACATACATGTACGTATATACACGTCAAAATATGCGTGTATGTAAGTATGTACATATGTGTGTATATTCAAATGTACTTTATAAATCTTTCTACTTTTTCTGACATTTTTTTCGAATTTTTTCCTTTTTGCATTAACAATTGCTGAAACTTGATTTGGATGCTTCTTAAAAATAAATGATTACTTGTTTAAAAGCGAGAATACAAAACAACAACAAAAAGTCGCTAAAACCAACAACAACAAAATGTTAACCATAATTGCGCTGAGCTTCTAAAAGTTGTGCACATTATTAGCAACTGCGTCGCTGCTGTTGCTTCTGTCACTGTCGCTGCCTCTGCCAACGTCAACATTGGCCGCGCCGCCCGCGCAGCTTGAATTTTTATTTATTTTTTGTTCTCCTTTCTTCTTAAGATTTGGCGCGGCTTAAAAAGCTGTGCTGCAAGAAATTAACAACAATAAAGTTGAAAATTGTTTGCCATGACAAAGAAAATAATCGTTAAGCTCAAGTTTTGCGGTCTGAAGGCGAAGACAGTCGACAGAAACTCGTTTTGCCTTTGGCTTGATTTGCTGTTATTGTTGCTGTTGTTGCCTCTCTTTTATTTATATTTATTTTTTCGGCAAAACTCTTTCGCTTGCCCATTCAGCAGCAGGCAAAGTGAAAATTGCCGCGCCCTGCCGACAGCAGCAACAGCGAATACTTTAGAGTGAATTGATCGGCATAGAAATGACAGTTTGAAAATCAATCTTTAGTCTAATTTTATAGCTGGCTCAATATTTCAATGGTTTTCGATACGAACTTCGAAATGAATCACCTGCTAGCCCAATGATGCGTGCGTGGGAGTGGGATGGCTATGCAAACACATGCACAGTAACGTGCATATACGAAAATATACGCATACACACACATGCGCATATTTATGTTTTTCGTGTGTGTATGTGAGATTTTGCCTGTTGCTTTATTCTTGAAACTTCGCTGGGTTTTTACGTCGCTGTTTGGTGCTCGATTGCTTGCTTGTTTGCCTCTTCTTCTTCTTTTGGCGCACACAGCTGTTCCATAAAAATTCCTTAACGTTTAATTTTAGCAACAGAAATTGCACGAGAGGGAAAAATGTAAGAAAAAAGTTTATTTTTATTATTGTGCAAACTCATTTACATGCACACATGCACAGACCAATACCAATAACAACAACAACAGCAGCAGCGGAAGAGCAGCACCACAAGCAAAAGGAAGCAACCAAACTTTAAGAGCAAGCGAGTAAGTGAGAGAGCAGCATGTGAGAGCAAACGTCAACGGCATGCGTGGGAGGGGAACGTCAACTCTACTCTCGGCTATGCTTAACCTTGAAGTCATCTTTTCTCTGTTTGTTCTGTATTCGCGCGTTCGCTGGTGTTCCCGCTGTTGTTGTTTTTGCTGCTGCTATTGCTGTTGCCTTTGCTATTGCAGCGCACATGAATGCAAATGTAAATTTCGAAATGCGAAAGCCTAAGAACTACAGCAACAACAACAAGAACGCCAACATGGCTGCGTTTCTACGCGAGAGCAGATGCTATACGCTGTGGTCGGCTCCCCTCTCTAAATTTCCTATTTTTTGTGCACAGTCTGGTTGGTTTTGTTGTTGCTCTCTTCTTCTTGCTTAACATTAATCTGTTTTTCGTATGTGCTCGTGTGTGCTATCTCGCTTGCTCCCTCCTTTTTCGCATTTCATGTTCATTTCCTTTTGTCAATTGAATTTAATGGAGTTAGGACTGAAAATGGGCGTCTGCGCCAAGGGTAGGGAACTGATCGATCAACTTGATCACAGAAGCATACAAACGGGGCCGTGCCTTAGGGGTTGCTCGTTTGGCCACTCACCGAAACGGAGGGAGCATCGCATCTGTTGTGCTGCTTGGCTGTTGTTGCGGCAGCTGTTGTATGCTTGGCTTTGTATTATTTACCCTCTCTGGGGGTAGGAAAAACCCAAATGCACCAAAGGTCCATGTACCGCCAGGACACAGCGCCAGGGCCGGCTGTCAGATACAGAGACGCACATACACATGCATAAAGTCGTAAGCCTGAGTCTATGTACCTCTGGCGGGTATCCAATTAAGGATGTTGATATCATATATCGTATATCGTAAAAATATAATGTATAGAATTTGTAGAAAATGTTTGTTCTACTCGCAATTCTTCTCTCACTTCTCTTAAGCTACACTCTCTTAAGCGATTCTCTTTTCAATGAATCTTCGTTTAACGCTTTCTTCTGTTAGCACAGCGCCCTCTGCTGCATAAATACCGAAAGCAAGCTCTCTTGCCTTTGTGTTCACACAGTCAACACTTTCTAACTGCAAACTGATCTGCTTCAGCGAGCATTAATTCCTTGTTTTTTCTAAATATCGTAAATATATTTCCTTCAATACGATGTTTTGCGAAACTCGGGTCGCATTTTGGCCGAACTTTTTGCTTGCACTTTTTAGGGGTTGAAATGCAACTTTTTTATTATATTTTTTTCTCTTCTTCTGCTTTTGTTCTTTCGCCTGTGATCAACGGCAGCTGGCGCACGGCTTCAACTTGTTTTTTTTTTTTTTTTCGCTGTGTGGAGCCCTTTTGAGCAACCCCCGTTAGCGGATCTCCATGTGGCAGCTTTCCACCCCAAAAAAGGTTAATGCGTTGCAAAAACTGGTCAGGGCCACCCTCGCACCCTAAACAAATGGCAACAGCCCTACGAAGGACCACCCGCCAGAGTCTGCTTGTGATCTGAGGCTGCTGAGACTGCTGAGGCTGCTGCTGGTGCTGTTGTTGTTGCTCCACGTTAGGGTTGTTTGCTTGGTGCGTGTCCTTGTCAAACGCAAAAGCTCATTTCCGTTGCTTTAGCAACCCCCCATTTGAACAGGGGTTGAATTACGGCTGCAGCCGCAGAGGGGATCATGCTTGGTTGCCGTCGCCGCCAGACGACTGATGCACGATGCCCGACGTTCGACGCCCGACACCCGACGCCCGTCCACCCCCTAGCACAGTCACGTTCGCTCCCTCGCCTAGTCCCACCCCTCACATCCCTTTTTTCTCTCATTTTAATTCTTTAGCTATGTAGTTGCCCTTGTTTTGTGTGTGCGCATTATAGAAATTACGCTTCGTATTCCGTATTCCGCTTTAGGGCCGGGGTCAATCAATAAACTGAGCTGGATCAGAAATAGAAATGTGCGCAGTTGGCAACGCATTAAGAAATCCTTATTCCCTGCATCCCAGTTTAGGTGTGTAAGACTTTAGTTAAAATGTATATAGGTAAAACGTCTCGTATAGTACATTTATAAACCATCAGTTGCTGTTTATTGATATTTGCTATGATGTTAATACTCCCCATAAAGTATGTTATCATGATTATAGGTAAAAATAGTATTTCCGGCATAGATATGTATGTTTGTATGTACTTGTTCAATATACGATCATTATTATTTAACTTGGCTTATCGTTTATCGATATAACAAGCCATAGAAAATTTCAGTTATTATAAAGCTCTCTGAAAGTTATCGTGCATCGGTATGCTGGCCTATGTTTGTATGCATGTATATGTATGCGTGTATGTATGTATTTATGAATATCTGCATACTTTCCAATCATTTGACAATTCCCACGTATTTTATGCACCTAATCCCGCACTATTGAGCGTCTTCCTTTCACTTGATTAACAAAAATATGAAAACACTCCACACAGAACTTTTTGTTAAACATTTTCTCGTATTGACCTCAAAAGCGATACATACATACATATGTACGTATATGTAAATACATACATATGTACATACATATGTATGTATGTGTATGCTTATGTACATATTGTACATAAATTTGCAAGCCCAAGAGCCAAAGAAAACCAGAAAGTTCCATTAACGAAAATATTTTTGGCAGCCTCATTTGGACAGCGGCAGCGCAGCAGCAGCCTCGTCTTCGTTGGGGCAAAG